AAGCCCCTTGATTTCTTGTTTTATTTTGGCTAGATGAACCTAAGGCCCAAATTTGAATGACCTCTTACCAGTTTCTCATCAAGGTTTAATTGCTTTTTGTAGCCTCTACTGCAGGCCATGTTAAAAGAATTACAGTGTCAAGTTAAACATAGAGAGTAACATTTATGCATTGGAATTGGCACGTCCCTTATATAACTTCACTTTTTAGAGAATGAGCAAAGGAGAAATGAGCTTTCACACTGTTTTGAAGTGATATATTCATGGATTAATTATATTAGTGAGGTTAGCAGTGTTAACTAATTATAAACTTAAACAATTTGGGATGCATATAGGTTATAATTGGTTTGTGAAAATGGCTAGCACTGGAGCAATAACACATAACTTATATAAACTCTGAGAAAATCTTGTTTCAATTAATACCATTTTGTAGATATAGAATCATCCATAGTTTTACTGATGATCTTTATAGATTATTTCATAGGTATTTTTTAAACTATAAAACATTTTTTACATTCGACTATTTTCCTCCAGATGTGACTAATTACTAATACAAGATTTTTAAAAACTTCTTCTGTTTATGAATAATTAACCTTTTATTTAGGGCATTAAGCACTGTCTTGGGCCTGTTCATTGCAGACTACATTGCTAATTCGTTACTGAGTATCAATGGGGATTAATACAATGTACGAGGTATAAATATTATCCATAAGGAAAATTATAAAGTATTTGGTTTCCATATGAATTGTGTTTAAATAAAGCCAGTAGCTACTTTACCTCAGAAAATTATGATATTTGTGGTAGGGGTAAAAGGCAAAATGAGAAAATTATCAGTGCACCTCACTAGGGGGAAGAAAAAAAAGATTAAAATTTAAATTTTAAGAAACTGAGGGTCTGGTATATTTGACAGCTTGAAAAGAAAATGTCCTTATTTGAGCCTAAATCATTGCATACCCACCTCACTAATGAAGTTAACCTTGATGATGATGTGTTCGCTTGTCAAGGCCAGCTTGGGGGATTAATGAAACCTAAACCAGAAAGTGCTTTCAGTTTCACATAGGGAATATGAGATTGGCTGCTAAGGAGAGATGATATTTATAGGAAGGAATGAAGTAGTGGAGATAGATTCATTTTTAAGAAGGTTGGATAGTGTTTCTTTAATCACTTCATCCCCACACCCTCAAATGTGTGGCTCCTATATATGCCCTTTCTGTCATAAAACACTTAATCCATAACACTTCTTTCTTTTCAAACTGCCCCGCTTTATCGTTTCTGGGCTATATTCTCCCACATCCAAATTTAGTATTTTTTCCACAGTACTTCAAATTTGCAGCTGCTTCTTGTTCTAAAGCATTTCGTGTCTTCTCAACTGACAGTGTCCCTGCCCCTCTCTATTTTTAATCTTCAGTGTTCGGCCATCTGTTTTTCTCTTTCTCACATGCACAAATGCCTTCCATCAACCCTATACTCCCTGTGTTGCTTTGCCTCCAAGTTACAGCTTTTACAGTTGGATAAAGTCAGTTATAAATGTATATTTGCCAATAAACTACATGACCAAACACCATAAACTGGACAAAGTCCTTTAGGTGGTATCGATGGATTTGTGAGATTGATGTTGTCTTATTTTACACAGAGAAGGGAATTTTCAGAGCTGAGAAAAATAAAGTCAGTTTACCTCTATAAAGTAATACAGAGTAAAGCAATAGTAAAGTCACTTTCATGAAAATAAGTTCCAAAGAGATCTTTGAGAAGTGGAGATACTGAGAAAGTTCTTCTGAGTGGCAGTAAAGTTACCAAAGATGGGTGAGAAAGCATATATATTTAATCATTGCTTAGCAAAAGTAGGACTTTTTCAAGCACTTAAGGAAAAGATTGCATGATGAAGCACAATTTCCCTGACTTCTCAAATCTAGACTTTATTTGAGAAATCCTATACATTTCCATTATTATAAGAAAAAAAAGAATATCACCATAGAGAAATATAAGTGTTCTTTCACTTAATTTAGTCTTGTCACTTTCTCTTTCTGTGGGAATATCACTCAATCCAGCTCATTATTTAAAAGACATGCAAGGTTTTTGATAGCTATGGAAATAGCCTATGACATGACATAGTGTTTTTTATCTGTCTAAAATTTCTTTTGTCTCTGGCTTTACCTAATTGATCTTGAAACAGGGTTATTTTACATAATCTTATATTTAGGGCCTTTAAAATCAACATCTCTCATTAACAAATGATAATGCAAAGCCATTATTATAGTACAATGAAATAGTTATGGAATAATATCATTCTCCCCCATTATATATGTGCTACCTAGTTATTTAGTGCCAGTCACACAATAAACCTGTTGTTCTATAGTGGATCAAGCTAACACTATGATTTCAACCTTAGGACTCCAATGAAAATAAATTATTTGGTCCCGTTTTGTGATTTTCTTCTAATAATTCTCAGAAGAATGAGAGGCAATTTTAATGTCATTCTGGTTTATGAAAGACTATAAACTTTAAAAATTTCATAACTTTGAACATTAACCATTTCAATATTCTGCACATTGATTGGCTTCATTTGTACGTTTTCCCACCCCAGCTAGAGAAGGTGTAAATAGTGGAAAACAGATATGGCTAATGAATCATACTTTGGGACATGGAAAATGTCAAAGTTGTAGAGTTTATTATTATCTTCTTGAGACTATATAGGACATTAAAATTCTTGTGACAAAAAATATAATGAGAACTATAAATAATAAACAGTACAACATAAATTTTCTTGTGACGATGATTATAAATAAGGATAGAGAATACTTAACCCATTGCCATTATTATCAGAAAAAAAAGACTGCTGCATTGATCTTTATCTTTCTTTTTTGTGTTTAGGAGCTATTCAAGCCACAAAGAATAAAAAGAAAGCATATACATGTTCAAGAGTTTTGAATACATTGTTTTATGACCACTTTCCAAAATGAATAGCATATCATGGTTCAAGATTAATATTGGTTCATATTACACCAGAATAATTTAAAAATAGCAATTTTAAAGCAAGTCGTCTGTTTAAAAATAGATGTTTTGCTGTCATTGAGGACACTGGCACGTGTGATAACAAAGTATTATAGTATTTCTGGGCAGAAGCCATGAATAATCAAAAATATTTGCATTTCACTTGCATTTAACAGCAGGATACCAGGCTTATCCCATCCTTGCATATACAAAACCTGTTATATAAGCACTGAGCTCTACATAAACTAAAGAACACATATTTATCCTACAGAGGTATAAACAAAGCTCCAACACTTCAATTTGTTAATAGATATTCTTTGTTGCTTCCTATAGGTGTTCATTGTTTAGTAATGGCATAAGAAATAACTAACACACTGGGAAAGTGAACAGAGCATTGAAAAGGAGCAGATTGTGTTGGTGGCACTTTCTTGTTCTAGTGAGTTTGTCATGGATTGCTTTAGTTGTAAATGAAGTCATTCCGAGCGTTTATTTGAGCTACTTCCGTTAAGAAGGAAAACAGATCCTGTCCTTGTGTCACTTATCACACATTTTGGCAACTCTCTAGAGATGCAGCACTGCCGTTGACATAGCAACTTGATTTCTTGTCAAAATATCTTTTAACATCTGGCTCAAAAAAATTTTTTGATGACTTATAAGGATGCCAAACTCCTCTGTTCATTAAGGCTGAAAATTCAATAAGTGTTGGATACGCTGGGACTAAGTTACCTCATAGTGAGCAGCTGTCGAATGATTTGCTGAATACTTCTGCTCAACCCACCACACTGAATGGATGGAATAGTGCCAGCTTTAGGGCATACACAGAGTGAGAGGAATTCTATCAAGCCCTATCCAGATGCTCCTGCTAAGCCTTGCAGTACCACTTGTACATTTAGAATGACCTATTATGAAACAAATGAAGAAAAAGAAACTTCATGAATCCGTGTGTCCTTGCAAGAGTAGCAAAGAACCCATTGTTGGTGCTAAAAACACATTAATAGTTGTGCTAATAAGGTGAGTGTCTTTTGGATCTGCAGGTTTTATCAGCCTCTAGCTGACTGGTGACGTCACCTACACCATCAACTCTGGACATGAAAAATGCTTATTTGAAGAATTGTCCTCTGGAGACACTTATAATTTAGCAGTTCTTCATCTACAGTGGCACTATGTTTTAGGGTACTTTGCTATATAGCGAATCAAATTATACAGCTTTCAGAATGTTCATCCTTCCCTCCTACACACTGTGCCCATATCTTTATCACTTGAATTTGCGAAACTCCCTTCTGGCATTTTATAATCTCTCAGAACCATTATTGTAAGGGGGTTAGTGTAGCAAATTATGAGGAGTACAAACACAGCAGTATCAGAAAATAGTTCCATGTGTGCAAAATATTTTCATTTTCATGTAAAAGTTCTGAACATGTAGTAGTCCTTTCTTCAGAGAATGTGTGAAGGGATCAGCCCTCTTCCACCTTGTCCCTAAACTCTTATTAAGCCAGTCCTATATACACTATGTACTTAGCAACAGTGAAAAGTTGAGTAGCAAACACTAGTTCACGTTGGAGCAGTGATCTAATATTCTCGCTTCTCCTCCCCACTCATTTCTTTCTTAGCCTTTCAGCCTGGTTCTGCCTCCAGCTGACTGAAATGCTGGCTCTGTTGTTACTCTCATGTCATTATAATCTGGCTCCTTTTACTGTGTGTGCATTTTTCTCTATTATCTGAACTTTAGCCTTCCTTTATGGACCCTTATCTTAATTTACCCATCCAGCTCTGAGCCAGTCTCATAGGCTTAGGTAGGTAGGAATTCCCCAATCTAGTCTTGGCCTAGAAAGAACCCAACTGCCCCTCCCCTCAGTCACACTGCAGGGCAACTCAATGGAAACCAGTGACAGGGACTCAACTAAGCTGTTTAGGAAACATCCACATGGTTCTGTTTTAATTACCTTAAAGGTAGGAAACAGAATCCAAGGTTTAGGTTCCCAGTGTCATTTTAAAAAATGTAATTCACAGTATTTCAAACTTCAGAATCTTTATTGAATCTCCAAGTATGTAAGGCACATTAATGCTAAACAGAATGTGAGAGGGTAGGGGGTTTCAAATATAAAAGCATGAATTAGTCACCGCTTTCCCTAACCCTTCTTTTCTTCTTTAATTTTTGCCATCAGTTGTGGTCTTTGTTTGAGCATGCAGGAGCTGGCATTCCCCCAGGACACAAATGGGCAAAATAAGAAGGCAGTGGAGGGCCAAATATCTGGGGAGGCACAAAAGCTATAGGCATAGAGAGAAACGGATTGAAAGTCGGAGGTCGAGGAGGTATGAAACAATGAGCAGCAAAGCAAGAAGGCAAACCTGCAGTACTGGAAGACACCACCGGCATAGGTGTTGGCCAATTATCCACGGGCTGCCTCGTGCCTCCAAGTGGGAAGGAAACGTGAGCCAGCCTTCCTTTGCAGACCATTCTAGCATTACCTGGAGGCACCTCCATCATTATCCCTGATCTAAGTGTGGGAATATGCTGAGGGCCTCTTACTTGTGGGCCCCTGGGTGGAAAGAACCCTTTACTTCGTGGCAAAGCCACATATAACCTTGCATTATTGCCACCTATCTCAGTGCCCCCATTGATGACCCTTGTGCCCCCTACCATAAGTGCGGGAGGGCCGCCAGAGACTTCACGGGATACATTAATAGAATTCTGTGCCTTCTGCCTCCAGCCTGCCAGCCCCTCAGAGCTGTTTACTTCTGCTGTTGCTAGGGACTCTTCCACAACAGCAGGTGGTGGCCCATAGGGGTGCATGAGAGCTCTGGAGCTATCCACAGGAACACAGGATTCTTTTCCCTCAGAGGGGTGCTCCAGTTGCTCTCTTGACAGATCGGTCAGCATACTGAAGGGAGGTCTCAGTGGGACGTGAGGGTGGCCCCAGGACTCCACATCATCCTTTGGCATGGAGCTCGGACACTGCAGGGATATGTCCTGGCGCAGCTCCCGGTTTCCATTTTTGTCCACAGCTACCACTATGGGTGAACGGCCATGCCCTCCAAAGCTTGCACAAACAGAAATAAAAGTTAATGAAGTGCACTGACCAGAATATACCTGAAATATATGATTGGCTAAACTCACAGGAATATATCAAGGAAAAAGGCAGTGCCCTCTCTCTTCCTACGTGTAGTCAAGCATATACTTCCTCAGTCCACTGGCCTTTTCCCAGGCAGCTCTTTTAGAACCAGTCTACATGATTGTCCATCATGGCTGCCCTGTGAGCTTACTCCATTTTCCATTCCCCCACCTTCCCAAGAAAGCAAGGAAGCCTAGAAAACCCAGACAGCTTCTTGGCAGGCATATGATAGAAAATAACAGCTCTTTCATGTCCCCATAAAATCTATGATCTACTAAGCCCAATATTCAGATTCTGGCTGCAGTGTTCTGGAAAGCCTTCTGAGGAAAACATATTTTTCCCCACAAAATCGAAGAAAGGTTAGTTACATTAACACACACTCCAGTTTTTTTAAGCATCAAAAAACATTCTTTTTGAAGCATCATTCAACATTCACACTGAATTTTCTTAAAATTGCCTTTCATTCAACTCATAACACACCCTAGAGTAAGAATTTTCTCATGTTTAAGCCCTACTGTTTAGACTAGAAATTTGCCAACTTTTGTTTCAAAATTACACTTAAAAATTGTCATCCTTAAATACTGTACTTTTAGTACCTAAATTTATATCCTTGAAGTTTTTTTTTTCTGTGATTCTCCTCCCACACCCCCTCCAACCCACTCGTCCCTGTACAAGTTACATTGCAAAGCAATTCAAACTGCCTTTGCCTTCAAAATTAAACAGTTGTAACTCGGTTTTGTACTTACACATTTTCAATACAAGCCATGAAGAAATTTGATTGGGATAGATAGCCTTCTTCGGGTGATGGAGAAAACCAGCTGAATGCCCACAAAGGCCAGCTCAGTCTGGAGAAATGACTCGTGCTTCTCCCTTAGAGAGGCTTAGCAACTTGAATGAAGCCAGAGACCAACTGCTTCTTTCTAGATCTGGAGTTCTCTTTCTGGGGTTACCAGTTGCTAGGGAAGGGAGGGAGAAAAGGAGCAGAGCGGGGGAGGAGATAAATCTGTGACACTCCTTTGAAGCTAAATGTAGGACTGCTTTTTGCACAGTAGTACATGGATGGCAAAGAAAATCTTTACGTTAACTCTGGTGCAGGCCAGTTGGAAAGAAAAATGATTCCACAAACATAGACAGTCATAGAGACATGATCCTTTGTTAAAAGTTATTTCTAAAATTTCAGTTATTAAAGGTAGTTGTTAAATTTCCTCCTCAAATTTGGACACACATACAGTAAGCAGAGGACCACGCTTATTTTTGTAATTTAAACTTCCAATTTGGGGAATGCATACTATTAACTTTGTAAAAAAACAAAGGTTTTGGGAGGGTTAGATTGCTTTTCAATCTGTGAAGACGAAAGAAATAGCACAATAAGAAAATCATTCTAAGAATCATCTTGGATTTTATTTTTTAGCTCCTCAGTTTTCAATTCTTTTCTTCATCCTGCCTTCTAGTTTATCAGCTCTGTATGTGTGTGTGTATTTCCTGTAATAGAGCTCTGGAGATTACTTGATAGATGAGGAGAAGGGAATAAAAGGCATAAGTAGTATGATAAATTTATTATTATTTATATTAGCTCATTTTGCCTTGTAATTTTATTTGCATAAGCCACTTTCTGTTCTTCCAGCCTAAATTTCATCCATCTCCCCTTCCTTAAGCAAGTATACTTCCCCAGCTTTTATATTCTGCTGTCTAACTACAGATTAATTGTTCTGAAATTACAATGGCTATCCCCTCACCCAAGATTACTAAGGTTGCTTCAGGATAAAGCCAAAAACGTGGCCCACTTTCTTAAATTTACCTAATATTCATGCTGGGCAGACTAGATCCTGAAGACTGTCTTTTCTTTATTTTTAATATCAGTTCATGCTGCTGTAGCTTAACAGTGATGTGTATGTCTTTTTCTTAAATTGGCGTGTGTATGTGTGTATGTGTGTTTGTGTGTGTGAGAGAATGCGAAGGGGGAGAGAGAGAGAGAGAGAATAATGCATAAGTACAAGGTACTAATGCAAAATAATGGTCAGTGTTGCAAAGCAACACAACTCGTGATGGAAATGACCTTTGGGTCTCCAAGTCCACACCTTCCCGCCAGGGTGCTTTGTCTCTGTCTATACACTACTGTTTTTAACTCATTGAAAGATGAAAGCAGCATGTTTCCAACACGTTTCCCAGAGGAATCTGTGCACTTGACTAGCATGCTTCACTGTTAAGGAATCTCTTAATTCCCCAGCTTCAGTTGCTATTCTTGCTTCAGTTTTTTATATTCCTTGTCCTTACATAAAAGAAAACTCATTATTAGCAATGTAGTTGTGGTGAAGTGTTAAAGTCCTTTTAGCACTTGCCATATGAGAGGGAAAAATGCAACTTAGGTAATGGCTGCTAATAGTTGGCAAATCATATCTACATAAATAGTTTATGTATGAGAGGTTGCATTTTTTTCTGAGTAATGACAACAAAGCCCCAGGAACCCTGTTATGCTTATCAAATTATTGTAATGATGGGCTATTTTTACTTGAAATGCCTGTTTAGTAAGATATCATCTTAATTGCGTAACATAAGGCTGAAGTGTAATATAGAGACCAAATATCTGGGAACAGTGACAAAGCTCATGGCACCTGAGAATTTTCCAAAGCCATAGTAAGTATCATAAATTTGTGGATATTAGCTCATATTTTGTCTTGTAATTTTTTGCTTTTGTGCAAACAACACATTTACTGAATGTCTACTGCATGCATTTACTGTTGTGCTAAGTATGGATTATAGCCAAAAAGTTAAATATGCAATCCATAGTGACTTCAAGTAATATTCAAATTTTCTTTTGAGAAAAAAATAACATCTATAAAAAAATAACAGAATAACATAAAAAGAACAGACAGAGGCCATTAGCTGCATTGTATCACCTAAGACTACAACGGAAATTCAGAAGAATGAACTATAATTGTGGGTTAAAGTAGTTGTGACATTTTTCATGAGAAGTTGAAACTTCAGTTGTGTTTTGGAGAATGCATACAGTATACACGGGCTGAGGAAGATATGGCATTCTATGCTGTATTAGTCCATTTCTGTTGCTTAAAATAAAATACATGGAACTTGGTAATTTAGAAGAAAACAGAATTTATTCCTTACAGTTTCAGAGGCTAGGAAGTCCTAAGTCCAGCGAACACATCTGGTGAAGGTTTTCTTTGGTGGTGACTTCAGTGACAGCAGGATATCACACATTGTGAAATGGCAGAGCAGAGAGAACAGAATCTTCATGCTCTCCTTGCAAAGGCCTCAGAACCACGCCCCTGACCACCATTTTTAATCCATTCACTATGACATGGTCCTACAATCCAAACACCTTTCAAGGCCCCACCTTGAAATTACCATAACAGGACTTCCCATCTGCAACAGTTAACGGTGGGGATTAAGCCTCAGTAAGGTTGGGGGGAAGGGCATCCAATCTACAGCATATGTGAAGAACAGGTATAGAGGTAGGAAGGAAGGAAAGATTTGGCATTTTGTAGTTTAGAATTTTAATCTGAACTAGGGCTCATATTTGGCAGAAATAGAAATATAAAGAGCCAATTGGACCCTCTAGAGATAGAGACCAACCAGATAATTACTGAAGTCGTACTCATCAAACAATATTTGAAGGCTCTCAAATTTTAACATAAAACATGAAATGAGAGTTATTTCAAAACCTATATTTTGACAAAAAATCTCTCAGGCTACCTCAACTATCCATTGGACTTTGATAATGAAGTAATAAAGTATATGAATTTTTCCTTTGTTTGATTGAATGACTGTTTTGGGGAAGAAAAAAATGGGTAATGGAGGTTCAGGATTTTCTAACATGTAGCTTGGTTGTGAAGCAACTGTCTTTGTCCATTTTCTCCTGCTGTAACAGAATATCCAAGACTGTCAGTTTATAAAGAAAAGAACTTTATCTCCTATAGTTTTCAAAGCTGAGAAGTTCCGTATCAAGGGGCTGGCATCCGTCGAGGTCCTTTAGGCTAATTTGTCCCATGATGGAAGGCAGAAAGACAAAGGAGTGTGTGTGCACAGGCACGCGTGCATGAGAGAGAGAGAGAGAGAGAGAGAGAGAGAGAGAGAGACAGAGAGAGAGAACCAAACTTGCTTTTATAACAATCCACTCTGGTGATAGCAAACGACTCCCACGATAACCACATTAATCCATTCATGAGGGTGAAGCCCTCATGGCCTAATTACACCTTAATGATCCCACCTCAATTTCTGCACAATGGCAATTAAATTTCAACATGAGTTTTGAAGGGTACATGCAGACCATAGCAGCAGCTAAGCTAAAAAGACCTTTCATTACCCATCACCTCTTATTTCATGACTCAGCTCCAGCTATTAGTCATGTTTCTTTTGAAAGATTTTGAGGAACTATATTGAAATGCTCAATGAGGCTCGTACATGGATATATTTACTTTTGCACAGCAATTATGAGGGTATTAAAAATGTGGTGTTATGCCAAAATCACATTGTTGTTTTTTCCAAAGAAATCTTGCAGATGTGTAAGTGCAAGCAAAGTATCATTTAAAATACATTCTTTATCTTTTGTTTAGAAAAATAATCCAGGAGATAAAGACATAAAGATTAATTTCTCTGTTTCCATCAGGCTAATAAGGAGGTGATGAGGAGATTTTCATGTTGATCTCTGGGGAGACAGTTGTTAAAAAAGTCCTATCCATTAACTCACTTTCAAAATGTAATGTCGCTATGTCAGTGGAAAGCTTTCTAAGTTTAGGATGTCTAAAATGTACTTCTAGAAGATAGACCAGATATCTTTAGAGGTCCGTGGCTATTTAATTCAATATATTAAAGCACAGGATTCATGAAAGCATGATATTATCCCATAATGGGCCAGGCAGCATTATTCAGTTGCACAATTATAGGCAGTAGTCTGTCCTCTCTATCACCAGCTGTCCTGCAAAGTCTGTGGTAAGTGATGAGGATGAACAGGTGAGAGTGTGGCTATTTTACCACCAACACTGGCAAAAGCAACCAACAAAATATGCCTCACTGCTATTTGTATAAAGTTCAAAAGAATATAATTGCTTTTCTTGAGTTCTTTGCTTCAGATTTTTGTTTTAAATATTTGCTTTAAGTCCAGCAAACTATGACAATTACTTCAAAACAGGTTTTTTTCTTATGCAATCAGAAGCTATCAGAAGTTCCTTCAATTAAAATTTCTCTTAACCTCCTGCAAGTCAGAACTGGAAACTAAGTAGCAGCAGGATGAGTCAGCTGATAAATAAGAAAGGAAATGGAAACTGAGATTTATTTATTTATTTTTTACCACTTACTGTGTGATACACATTTGAGATATACAATGTCTCATTTAATACTCACAGCAAACCTTTAAGTTAGTTATTATTATACTCATTTTATAGATGAGGGAAAAGAGAATTGCTGAAGTTAAGTAGTAGTAAATGGTAGACAATACTCAGACACAGCTGATCTGACCACAGAGCCCATATTTCTTCAATTGATCGACATGGCCTCCTAATTGTAGTTTTCAGTCAATCACAAAAGTGGCTCACATCAAAATATGTGTACCAGATCTGAGTTTAGTTTCTTTAATTCATGGACTTATTGACACTAATCCAGAGGTATAATATCTTCAGTGAAATGAAGATATTATCCAAGCCGTAATGCTCACATCTCTGAAAGCCTGACTATGCAGGAATGCAGCAAGTGACTGCATCATTAGGCATTTGGTGGTCATCAAGCAAGAAGGTGAAGACTGAAAATGCTGTCATGGAACAACTGGGTTGGTGACAGAGGAAAGGACTTGGTTATAGGATTGCACTGAGTGATCA